CCAGAAAGTTAAGAAAGGAGAGAGTCAAAGTAAGAAAGAGAATAAGGAGAAAATTAAGAATACAGTATTAAGACCAGAAAATTCCAGATATAATTTGAGAATCAAAGAAAAAGTTGACTATTCAAAATTTAATAAAAAATTAATAAAAAATAATTCTTTTTCTATGATATAATCTTAACGTGCTGTTATTAATTTTAGATTTTGGTTGTTCTAATCTTTGTTTGTTCTATAACATTTGTTTTTATTGACAACTACTGATGAAGATTTTTATTAATCGAAACGTTTAGTTAAGCAATATAAGTAAACTACGAAGTAAACAGGAAGAAATAAAAGAATTATTAAATATTATCAACTTCGTTACATAGTAAACAGTAAAAAGACGCAAGAAAATGTTCATTTGTTGGCCACACTGAGTACTGAGTATGTATAAATGAATACATCGGTAAACGATGACTATAAAAAACTCTTTTTTCCAATTATTTTTGCCACCATTAATCTGATTCCTGTTGATTTTCCAATTGTTTTTCTATAAACGACTATCTATGGAATATTTTTCTCAAAAAAAATGTTTCCAAAAAAGCTACTGTAATAGAAAATCAGTGCAACAAACAGATATTTAATCCTTTAAGTTTCGAATTTGTTTGTTGAATCAAATTTGATGAAACAGGGTATAAACTATATAAGAAGGCATTTATAAAAGCTCTATCTCGTTCAGAGACCGAATCGGATCTTAGGTGGATGACCCGAATCCGATCTGAACATTGTTTTACCCGAACCTGACGAGACCCGAAGTGATACGAAATTTTCAAAACTTGACCCGAATGACCCAAAAAGTTTCACAGAGATGTTATGTAACAAACATCAGTTTTTCTGCGGGTGTTTTGAAACGCTTATACCTCGATGAGCAAAAGTTATGCAAAGCCCGGAGACGTTGCATTTTCAAGAGAAATGTCTGTTCTACAGGTCTAGCTACTTGGAAAAATTACTATCTTGCCAAAGAAAACTCATGGAGAACTGGAAGTTGTCTTACTTTGTAGAGGATGCTTCACTGAACTCTACTCAAAAACGCAAAAGAGTACCCACTTTAAGGTAGTGGCGCAACCAAGTTTTTGTGATGACGGGTTCAATCTCTATTAAAGTGATAGGGAATAGATAAGTTAACCGAAGAAATTGACTAGATTCATGTCAGGCAAGAGAGACGCAACAAGAAATTACTAAGATTATGTATGACAAAAGTTCTTGAAGATTGTTCAGAACTGTCGAAATTTAGCGGTGGTAAGTATATTTACTACTGAGACTCAATGAGTTAAGAAACAATTTCTCGCTACCAGTATTCATATCAATTTGTTAGTTATTAAAAATGTGTCAGTTCCGTTTTTCAACTTGAATCGTAGACTTTCATTCAAAACGGTTCTCAATTATGATAGTATCAATATTTGATCACACTTATTTTTTAAATACTAAACAAATATTTACAAATATTAATAAGTTTTATGTAATTTACTTATAAGAAATGCATATAATTTTATTTTATCTTTTAGAAAAAATGAGCACTTCGAGAAATAATTCAAATGCATTTGGAGGCCCAGGTGCCTTGTCTATTCATGTTACAGATGCGGAAACAAGTGCAGAAAATGGAAGAAAATTTACAGTTAGTTTACTTGATTCTAAACCTAAATGTTAAGAAGAAAACTTAGTCTTCTTTTTTTTTTAGAAATATAAGGTAGAAGTTCAACATGGAGATCATGAATGGGAATTATGGAAACGATATAAAGACTTTTATAACTTTAATGAAAAAGTAGGACCCAATGTCAACAATTTTAACTCGGATATTTCTCACGAAATGAATAAATAATAATTTGTTAATTGGATCCATTTTCTGTTTCTAGTTACGCCGTGTTCGTTCTGAGTTAAAACTTCCTGGTAAAAGACTATTAGGTAAAATATTCTGCATCATATAAATGAGCTAGTAGAAAATTGACCTTTCATCTGTTAGGCGATTCATTTGAACCGGAGTTCATACTTAAACGACAACGTGGATTAAATGATTATGTTCAACAAATTATATCCCTGCCACAACTTATTAATATGTAGGTTTAAGGATAAAAAACAGTTTTTGGACTGTGTATTTATCGGTTAAACTAGGTATAAGTAAAAATAAGGTCAGAGTTTTGATAAATATCTTGGAAAGTAGCAGTTTATTGGACAGAAAAAAAATGATGAGTGATAGATGAATAATGCAGGACACATTGCAATATCAATACTACCATTTGGCAGTTGTTGTTTAGTGGTCAGAAATTTCTTGAATAAACCATATATACCTATCTTTATCTAAATAATAAGTGACTATAGCGCTCCTAAAAATAATGGTGTTTGAACAAAAACAACGAGTACGAGAACAAAAATAAATATCTGTATATATATGTATATATATATCTAATATCTATGTCGAATTTAACTTTTTTTAGGCCTGAAACTATTGACTTTTTTGGTCTGAATAGTACACAGAATCAATCATCGACAAAATCATCAAATCCACCATCAACAACAACAACAAAAAACGATGAAGAAGACACAAATAATCAAGTATGCTTATTGATGTTCCTTTGAGACGATAAGAAGTACACATTTTGCGTTATAAATCAAATAAATGTCACAGGATAAATTCTGGAAAGAATCAAGGTTTTCATTAACTATTGATCGGAGTCTATACATATATTGACTATTAGTAATATTATTCCTGCTTGAGACTAAATGCTCTTTTACTATTCTTCATGTACAATTTGAATCTAAGAATGCAAATAACTTCATATGACATATGATAATGTTTGAAGAATTATTAACTATAATGGATTTGTGATGGATTTCTAAAAGATACGCAAACGAGGAATGTACTGCAAAGGGGACAGATATTTTGCTGCCATTTTCAATGATTAAAACTATTTAGTGTCCCATTTTTCCTCGATTCTTTGTAAAAAAAACGTCTCTGATGAAAATATATGGTTAATTCTTTACAAACCTATACGCACTGTGCCACTCGAACATATGTTTCTAAGCTTATAGACACTCTAAAATATTTCTGGCGCAACTTATTTTATAGGCTGATACAATACGAGTTAATCTTGGTAGATCAGAAAAATCATCGTGAGTAATTGTTATATATATGCAATTACATCGCTCTATGTAGAATATCAATTTTGTTTTAAGAACAAAACCGGATGATTTCGAATTTCAAAAGTGTATTGGCAAGGGTTCTTTTGGAAAAGTTTATTTAGCCCGACACAAAGTTGAAGATCAAATATATGCTGTGAAAGTTGTTAGTAAAGCATTAATTAAACGTAAACGAGAAGAACATCATATAATGGCTGAACGTGATGTATTAGTTAAAAATTGTCGTCATCCATTTTTGGTCTCATTACAATATTCATTTCAAACTCCTGATAAACTTTATTTTGTCATGGATTTTGTCAATGGTGGTGAAGTAAGTGTGAATAAACAAGCATCTCATATTTAATTTAGATAAATTATCACGTATTTTAGCTATTTTATCATTTGCAACAAGAACGAGCATTTAATGAACAACGAACGAGATTTTATGCTGCTGAAATTACAAGTGCTGTAGGTTATTTACATAAATTAGATATTATTTATAGGTAATTTAACTAAAGGAGAATGAAATCTCACTAACGCATGTGACAGACAATTTAGTTTACTTAAACGAGTTGAATTAATAATATGCATATTATTTTTTAGAGATCTGAAGCCCGAAAATATACTGTTGGATAGAGAAGTAATTTAACCGTCATTTAGACATCATACTTCTTTTCTGAAAAAGAGTCCTCTGATCGTTTTAGGGTCATATACGTTTGACAGATTTTGGATTATGTAAAGTAATGCTGTCTACTGAAGGTCGAGAAGGCCGAACAGCGACATTTTGTGGTACACCAGAAGTAAGTAAATGAGATGATCCTGAAATAATATGAAACAAGTTTTATATTATAGTATCTCGCACCGGAGGTATTACGACGTGAAGCGTATACAAAAGCTGTTGATTGGTGGTGTTTGGGTAGTGTGACATACGAGATGTTATGTGCTAGGGTATGTGTTTCAGATTTTTATTTCTATACATAAAGTCTATTGATCTGATTGACTTTAGCCACCGTTCTACAGTCGCGATGTAAATGAGATGTACGATTATATACTAAACCGTCCACTTCGTTTCGTTGGTAATGTCTCAGAACGAGCACGAAATTTAATTGAACAAGTAAATGATAATATAGTTTGTATGATGATAAAACATTATTCATATTTCATATTTCTAGTTACTTCGAAAAAATCCAGCTGAAAGACTTGGTTCGGGTCCAGATGATGTTGGTGAAATTAAGCGTCAACCATTTTTTGATCAGATTGATTGGGAAAAATTGGAATTAAGAAAAATTCAACCGCCATGGAAACCGCCTGTGGTAAGAACATCTTAAACAAATTTGCAAACTTCTACCTTCAAAAAAGACAACAACATGAAAAAGTCTTCGAATACAGCAAACGTCTCGCACATAATTATCTTAAGGGCTCTCACCCCTCAGAAATTATCTCTGACATCGTACATCCGATTTTGACAAAACTTTCCATAAATCTCAGACACAATGAGTTACTAGAATGAAATATTTTTTTATCTCTAAGTCTTACCGTTTAGAAGTTTTCCAGAGATCAAGGTTCAGAAAGAATCCTGAAGTATTTTCCAAGATTTTTTAATATATTTCGAGCTAGAGAGTTCGGATTTATTTTATTTTAAACTAGACACCTAACTACATGGTCGGACCGGCGCCGATTTGTCAATTAAGCCTTTGTTCGTTTTGTAGATAAATAACAACCTCAAAAACCCGAAAAACGCTTCCTGGTTTTCTAGAAACCCTCACTTTGACAAAAAACTAAGATCTAATTGAAAAGTCGGTGCCGGTTAGACCATGTAGTTAGGTGTCTAGTTTAAAATAAAACAAACCGGACCCTCCAGCTTGAAGTATATTAAAAAAATCTTGCGAAATACTTCAGGTGTAACTCTCATGCAGGGAAAATGCTGTATAAAATGCTCAATTTTAGGACTTGAAGGAAAATGCGTATGACTTTTTGTCGCAAGGTCATGTAGACTTGAACGAGATTTTGTTTGATCAGAATAGTTTGTTTTACAAATCTACTCTTTGAGAAAGAAATTTAATTGCATAAGTATTCAGGAAAAAGTTATTATTTGATGACCCGATTTTTCGAGGCTTTTAGAACACTTGCTCGAAAGTAGCGAAAAATTACTTCTATAACCGAAGGCGATACAGATTCTGAAAGTATTCATCTCAGGCTATTTTGCTATGTGCTTATCTCAAAATCGATTTTTTGATCCAGAATCATCATTTCTGAGAGGGGATTTAATAAAGCTATTGTAAATGGAAACATAAGAACAATGAAAATCTTGGCAGAGACACTTTTAGATAGAGAAATAAATCTTACATTAACAGCATGTTGTCCACAAGACGTTGATTGAACTAAAATGTAGCTTTTAATCTCGTTTGTAATTAGTTTCTTACAAAAAAGATTTCTATCATCACCTTGTACACAGTTTATTTTTAATAAATAAACTTCTACTTCAAAGTTCGCTTCTGTTTTTAATATGCTGTTTAAATTTAGTCTGGTCCATCGGATGTCAATCAAGTGGATACTGTTTTTACTCAAGAATTAGTTTCACCATCAGTACAAGAACGGTATCTTGGAAGTGTGACAAATAAAGATCCAATGTTTAACGGTTTCACCTATCAACCGGAAACACACATGAATTCTTGATTTTTTCACTTGTGATTGTATGTGTGTGTAAATTTTTAACTACCGGTGTGTTTTTATCATTTTTTTTTTATTTATTTTATTTCTTCTTGTATGTTGCTCGGATAGACTAAATCTATTTCATATCTCACTGGATGTGTATTTTTATTGATCTCTAAAAAGAGAAATGAAATATTTGTTTTTATTATTTTAAATTTTATTTTTTCTATCAATTTTGTTTTAATACAATTGTGCTCTATTATTTTTTTGTTTTAAATCAATCAAGAGTTGTAGATTCTGTACTGTATATATATCTATATATATACATAAAGGAGAAATTTTTTGAAAAGCATTCCGTTCATTTATTTAGTGTCTTCCTCTAAAATGATGGGTTTTCTATCTATTATTTTTGTCATTTTTCAATTATAGTTCGACTACTTTCTCTTACTGCTTTTTTTAATAATACATCAACCACTAATACATCGAATAACAACTTTTGTCACAACACACGCAAATTATGTGTTATTTAATCGATGAGTATGAAACATGAGGTGATGAAATGTGAGGGTTCTAAAACTACACGTTTCAACTTTCATCAAGAGTATCAGTGTACTTATTAATTAACATCGAAGGAATAATACAAAAAAATATTCAAATGAGAAATTCAACACGAGAAAACTAACAAAATCTAACGAAAAACATTTATATGAGAAAACTGATTAAACACCATATTTTTCCACTAGACTTTTTTGTATGATAAATCGATTTTATTCTCAGACAACAGCTTTCTATTCTAGACAACTCTTTTGCTTTCATGTACATACAGGATTTGGGCATGTGTGAGCATGAGCCGAATATGACAATATAGGCCTATTCAAAAGAGTTTAGTATAAGAAAAGTTTCTACGAAACCCTTTAGAGAATTTAGTAACATATCACCAGGCAGAATTATATTAAATTTAGCAGATATGAAAAACCTTTTTGGATGGTGTAATAGGAATGAAAACCATTTTCATACTTTTAAAATACGTGCTTTCATTAGAGAGATGATTGATTGTGAAGCACAAACTTCCAAATACTCTGGCATCTTTCATGGATTGCTTCTCTGACAAATTGAGGAAAATCCTATTCTTCGCTAAATCAAAACTGCCGGTCATCATGCTGATTAATTCTGAAATTGATTGTTTGAAATTTTACTATTAAAATGAAAATGGTCTCCGTGAAACTGAGATTCTTAAAAATATGTGCACTTGTTTTTGATATTTCAAACATAGATTCTAAATTATCCAATATTTCGCTATCATGGTCATAATGTAGACTGCATCAGTAGATCTCGACACTATCCTGATCAAAATCGTTTCTGTATTATATTATACTGTTGAACATCGTTTTCATAGAACTGATCGCATCTCTGGTTTTGCCAAATTATGGGCGACTCCCTTATCAGTGAGTTTATAAATGGAGCTAATAAAACACTAATACTTAGTGAATGATACGAACTACGGCAGCCCATAATAGAGTCAAAGTAGAAGTTCGTATAACGATAGTATAGTTTTATAATATTTATATTGACAAATAAATGAGGGCTTTTATACTAGATATCACAAATCTATCTCGCTAACCATAAGTCTGATATGGACCAAACGTTAGGGTAACAATACAAAAAAGTCAGATTTTTGAATTTTTTCTTGCTTTTATTTTCTGAGAGATTTTATCCCAAAAGTTCAAAGAGAGCTGAGAAACAGGTATATATCTTTCAACAGTGTAGAAGAATGACGGCCTAAATGAAAAATCAGGTCTTTTACGTTGTTTTCAGACGTCTTGACTTCCATTTTAAAAAATGAGCCCATTCTGACTTTTCGTTAGACCTGTTTTTCGTCTAAATCTGGCGAATAGTTACTTTCGTCGAGTAAAAAGGCAGTTTGAAGAAAAGCGCAAAATGCTTTTTTTTCTCCTGAAACTACCTTTTTGATTTATTTTGATTCCTCAGAGTTTAGTGAAGTTCTCTATAGGTCGCCAATTTAATCAAAACGTTTTGGAATTCTTATATTTCGAAGCGCCGACGAGCAGCAAAGCTCAAACTTTCAGATCATTATGGCCACTGAGACTACTAGCCGCAATGAAAATATGAGCTCAATCAAATTTCATTTGGTCAAGAAATCAAAGATTCACCGACAAAATTGAGCTTTTTGTAAAAAGCTTGAAAATTCTTCAACTCCAGTCCAAAGCATCATGGGCACAAACCAACTTGGGATTTTTCACTACTCACTATTCCCTACATAGTGAAAACAGTCGGAGTCAAAAAGCGATTTACCATCTCAAAAGGTTCTCTCGTCAGAAAAAAACATGTTCCCATCACTCTTCTTTACTCAACATAAATATACCTTATTAAAATTACTTGTGGCAATATTTTTCTTTTTTATCCTATCTGAGAGTTTTCATCATTATTCAATATTATGATATATCTCAGTAGATTAGTCACCTATATGTAAATATATCATCACCATTTGTGTTGTTTTTTGTTTGTTACATTGTTAAATAATTTTTGTTATCTATACATACTTTTATATTTTTTAAATTTCAATATGAGTACTGTTATACGAAATCCGTTATATAAGCGTTTAATAACACAAACATCAACATCTTATCAATCTACATCATCAACAGACATTTCAGTGTCTGTAGATTCAGAGACATTAGCAAAACCATCGTCATTTTATTCATTTATATCACGAATTATACCAAAACGAGATAAATCCATTATTCGTCGAACATACGAACAAGAGAGTTATAATGATGAAACATATATATCATACGCATATAACAATAAAAAAGCAAAACGTTTACTGCTCATGTTTCATATATATCGATTAGTGATTATTATTATTTTAGTTTCGCTTACATATCATTATCAATAATGAATAAATAAATAAAAGACGAACGACAATTTTGGTAAAGTTGTCAATGAATACAACTTTCATTTAGATGTCATACTATTCTATACATTTCTTCCATTCTTGAAAGAAATGGCTAGAGGTTAGAAAACACAAGAGAGTGTTAGCGTATTAGAATATATTATTGAAAAAAATCCATTAATAAAATGATAAAATATATAAATTGACAGCTCACACATATTAGCTTTGTTTAATGGTGTTGTGTTAGATATTTTTATATATGTTGTATTTGTATTTGAGAATAAAAACATGAAGCAACATATTTGCCACATTTACTTGTTAAATCCTCAACTTGAGGAAAATTAAATTTTCCTTATCTTGATCAAGTTTATTTTTTTACCAAAAGATCCTCCGTTCGATTCTCTACAAAACAAGTAATGTATTGACTGTTTTATTGCAAAATCTGAAGATGAAGAGTACGAAATACTAAAATGAAGAAAAAATTAATGTATTTTCTCATACAGTGCTCATTTTTCTTGAATAGTTTCACAAGCGTCACAGCATTGTTTGAGCATACATTTGTTGTACAGTTTTAAGTGCACTCTTTCTCGTGCTACAGCAAAATTTGTTTGAATCGAAATATCTGACTCAAGTATTGATTTCTCGAGAATCGGACGAAAGAAAACAGAGCAAATTTGGACATTTTCTGCGCATCATAAAACAAAAGGAAATTTTTTTCAGATCTTATTGATTCGGCATTACAGATCAACCATTTGTCTTCAAATGGAAAAAAAAGAATGAAGTTTGACTCAACTATACTTGTTTTATCGAAAAAAAGCAAAAAATTTAAAGTTTTAGAAAATTTGCAAAATTACTGTCAAGAAAAATATAAAAGAGTATTTTCTAACTGATATTGATCTCAGCTAATATTCATATTATCATCCATTCATGGTTTATTTCTGTATGATTTGATGAAAAGCACATTTGATCAATGAATCAATCATAGCTGACAGTGATAGATGGGAAAAAAAGTATTAGCCCGATTGGAGTCAAAATGGCAGACATAAGAATAGAATAAGTAGAAGATGGTAACTATATACTTTTCAAGAAAAATATTGAAAAAGAATATTTCAAGACTTGAATTTTTGATATATACGCATATTTATGGGCGAACAGCGGAAAGGAAGCAATGAAATAATGTAAGCAGAGATCACGATATTTGTTTTCAACTAAATATTGACTTGATAAATACAAAATATTCATGAAATTGATGTACTTTTTATCAAAGCACAAAGAATGTCAGTGATTAACATCAAAACTTATATCTGGTTTACAACATATTTTTCTTATTTTTATCATCAAAATAAGATTTTTCATATTTACAACATAAAACATTACATGTTTCAACCTGATTGAATGAATTTTGAACAAACAAAAACCAACAGAGAAAAACAAAAAATCAGCGTATAATTATTCTAATGTCACCGTCATTTATTCTCGTAAATGACCAGTTTTTTCATCGTCCATTGGCAAATTTTGAAAACGTTTTCCAAAGCCACCTCTACCCGGATCATAATCTTTTCGAAATTCATCACGAACCTAAAGCAACGTATAAAGACTGTGATAGTGTCTTAATATAAAAAAGAACACTTACTTGTCCACCACTTCGACCGCGTCCATATTGCCGTCCTTCGACAAATCCTGCATCCCAATCTGTTCGAATAATACGATCATCTAAACGTGTACCATTGATATATCTCATACCATTTTCAGCATCTTTACGAGTGTAATATCTACAACAGAAATCGATAGATATATATAGATTAATCACTAAAATAAGCGGACGTACTCAACAAAACAAAATCCACCTAGAACAATAATAAAATTCAGTTAATTTAAAAACTAATATGTATATTTGAATGTAGTATTTACATGGCGTTTTAGTTGCACGATCAAGTCCCATGATAATTCGTTTCACATCTTTAAAAGAAAACAAACTAAAGTATGTATTTCTTCTTTATTTCTCTAACTTACCTCCAGCACGTGAAAATAGTTCATGTATTTGTTCTTCTGTAGTGAAAAATGATAAGTTTCCAATATATAACGTTGTACTTTGTAATAAACGTTTTTCTTGTTCCGTTCGACTACCCTAAAAAATAGAATATTCATACTCATTTATCGTTTTTTAGTTGATACCGTATACTACGAATTACCTTAAATTGTTGATCACGATATAGACTTAGTGAGACGGATTTCTGAATTAGAAATGGCAATGCTGCGACAGCTGATGACACTGACATCATGACTAATATTTCAACAATCTAAAAATCTATAAAATATTTGAAAAATAAATCTTGTAAAATAAAAGAGTAATAATCACACTTGAAAAAGATTTGTAAAAACATTCACACATAGTAACAAAGAATGAAGTCTCATAAATTCGTTAAGGTGTTGTTCCACTCTCGATAAAATACTAGTCAAAGTCGATCTACAAAGTTTTTTCTTATTCTTTGTAGAGGATTTGAACAATTTGAACAATACAAAACAAAAAGAAACATAACAAAATATGATTAATCCTGCATTTTTGTAATAATAAGTTAAGCACAAAAAAGGTTTTGATGAAAAATAGATAGTTTTAGAACAATTTCGATATAATAATACAATGATTTCCCTCATCATAGTATGACTTAATAATCCTTGCATTTTTAACGTGTCCAATTAAATGTTCTAATTCACCCTGTCCATAAACATGATAATACCTTAACAGTTGTTGATTTTCTTTCACTTTTGTCCATGAAACAAGACAATCAGAACGTTGAAATTCAGTACGACTTTTATGTACACTTAACGTATCGTCTTCATAAGTTTCTATAGGGCTATCTTTCGTCAAACTGTCATTAACAGGACAAACAAGACTCTTTTTCTCTGATGTTTTATGATGATGACATTTATTTTTCCTATTAGCATTATTATCAATGTAAAAACTTTTCTTGTCTTCTAATGTTTGTTCTTTTGCCCAAACAGTTATTAATACTTCGCCTCCTGGACGTAATAAACGTACTATTTCTCTTAATGCAATTAAACGTCGTTCCTGAAATAAATAATGGTGTTATTTTATATTAACAGAGAATTTCTATTGTAAAACCTACGGGTGTACTGATATGATGTAAAACAGCAATGCAAATAGCTCCATCGAAAAAGTTTGTCGGCACCGGGATATTCATACAATCGGATAAAAATACTTGAAAATTACGTTGACGACAAATTTGAAGAAGGCCAATACTTCGATCACAACCAATCTAAATTAAAAGAAAGACAAAATACTTTTAAGGAAAAGATGTATAAAATTTGCATACCATGAAAAGATCGTTTCTAATGTTCATATATTTCCCGTTTCCACATCCGACGTCTAGGATAATACTTCCAGTCGTAAATTTTCCAAGAAATTCAACGACACCAGGCCATGCACTATGTCTTGTATGACTAAAATTATCAGCTATTTTATCGTAAATCTAAAGTAAACAACACTGCAAACTTATAATGGCATGACTATTTCAACAAAATATTCTTACCTTATGAACATAGTTTTGTTCTAATTGTGCTGCATCTAAATCTGATTTCGGTAAAACTGGTAGCACTAGATTTAGAATTCAAAAATAAACAGTTGAATCGTCTATATATAGACAGTAATATAAGACTACACCTACCTTGACGAGTATTTTGATGCTGCGAAACTTTTCGAAATGTAAATGAAACACGGTATAATCGTGGTACAATTGTTACTTGTCCTTCGTCCGTCATTATAATATCACTATTTCGAGGAACGATTCTAAAATCTGAGACTTAAAATTAAAATATAACAAAAAAAGATAGATAAGATATTTACTCGTATGACCATTCATCTCGACATTCATTAGAGATGACCAATAGACTTTTGGGAGGAATCTGAACATGAACAATATCATTTGTTGATGACCTTTGAAAAGTCATTACAACTGAGGAACATAGATTCAATGACATAATATTAACATCGAACATATTAATTGAACCTATTTGAAAATGGAATGTCAATATAAAGTATTTTTGGCCAATTTCACAGATACTCAAAGTTACTTTTCATTTACCTTGTCCTGGTTCATAACAATTGACGGTCAACTGATCAGGTTTTTCTTTGATGTATCCTAATATCCATGCACGATGGATGACACTTTGACATTCCTGTGGAATTGTTTTTTTTAACGGTTTCGAAGTATCAACATCATTCGTAGCATACCGAAATTCATAGCCATAATGAATACCACGACGATGTCTACGATTATTTCGATGATCTTCTAGAAAATTTATGTATAACTATCAGTATGCCTTTTAATATCGAATACCTAATCTACGTAAAATTTGGACTTACCATTTTGGACTACTGGATCTATTTCAATAAGTTTTAATAATTCTTTTTCTTCATTATCGTCAATAAAATTTTCAATTAACGTTAATCCTTTTGGATATGATGTTGAATTTAAAGATATACTGGGTACTAAAATTAAAGAATTGTGAATTATCATCTTTTACCCAAAAACTGAAATTTCACCATTAGACACGTAAGCCATATAAAATGTTACATTTGATTGATTGATACCAATCGGATAGGACCTTGCGTTACATTGTTCTATTGCTTCCTTTCCTGATTCTTTATTTTCATAGATAATAAAGGAATAGGGTCGTCCGATTGGCATTAATATATCGATTATTTGACCAAACGGTTGAAATATTTCTATTAATGATTCTTTTGATACATGTGTTTGGATGCCCGCATTGCCAACGAATAAAAACTGATATAAATATAAAAAGTTTCATATTAACATTCTTATAAATCGTACTACTAACTTGTGTCAGTTCGTTGCTCGTTGTAATGCCATCCATTCGTTCCAAAATATTTAAATATTCTGTTAGCTTTTTATCGATTGTCTGTCCACTATCGAGCGATTCTAAAGAAATTATTGCTGTTTGATTTTTCTCATCACTCGAATGGAAACTTATTCGAGGAATAAAACTGTCAGCATTCATCTAGAATATACAAATATAAACAAAATAAATTGTTTCAAACACAGAAGTTTCCCAAGAGAGCAAGTTAACCTCTTGAGAATTGATCATATCAATTGATGTCACAAAAAAAAAGAAGAATATTGTGCACATATTCATGAACAATGCAAGAGAAAAATACATTGGGATAACTCAATTTCAATATACGATTTAACAGTTTACACATGTGCATACTTTCATTCAATAAAACACAAAAAATTATTAGAACTCATCATGTTGAAGATAAACGGAAGAAGATAAATAAATGGTGTCACTGTTTATTTAAATATTACATTCAGATGTCAATAAAAACTATAAAATCAACAACATATTTCGAACAACAACATCAAAAGATCAATCTCTAAATCAATAATTTCCAACACGATCACGTGGAATTAAACGAAGTTCAGCTCCATGTTTAAGAAAAACATTTCCTGCTGTTTGACTTGGATTAATACCGATTCCATCTAAAGAAAAGAAATAATAATTATTTAATATATTTAGACAAAGGATGGATATACAAACCATTCGTAATGATTGCACTAGTAGCTGCTTGTACTTTAAACTAGACACGAAAAAGAAAGATGTTTTTTGATTGCTATGTAGAAAACGTACTACTAGAAAAAGAAAAACATACTTCTTCAGCTGCAAATTTCAAAACAGCGGTAAATGGAGTATTTTCTGGAACTGATAGTCTACAAAACAGAGATGAGAGACGATGGTTACATGAATAAGAAAAAATATTCAAACACTTACACTTTGTAAGGAAGTTTTGGATCGGATGTCAATGTAATTTTAAATGTTACTTTTGCACTACCGGATGAAGTTGGAGCCGACATTGTTGTAGATGTAACAGTATTATTAGGCACAGTAGTAGCCATCTGAAATAAAAATATGTTATACACTTAATATTATGAATTTTTGGAGAAACACAGTGAGTGATAAGCAATTCTGTTGATAGTACAGACTTCATTCCGTTCGGAGATTTCTCTATTTTTGATCAATAGGGATATTTAGAATTATTAAAAATTCGAGGCTAGATTCGAAGGGATAGCAACAAAAATCTGCAATTGTGTAGTATCAAGTTTAGATGACTACACTTAGACTTATCATTGTATATATTTTTTCAATTGTAGTAGAACAAGTAACAAAAACCAACGTAACAGTAGGATAATAATAAGAAAAGCAGAAAAACGTTTGTATTCTACTCTTTCTGTTCATTTGATTTTCTTCTTTTACTGCTAACATTTTCATCATCTGTCGCGGTCACACGTGCATGTGGCCGTTTTAATGCTTTTAATTTTCTTGTTTGTAATTGATTAAAATCTTGTTTTTCCATATGTATACGTCCCATTTTCGTTCCAAATACATCCATTGTTGTATTTTTAACTTTTTTCTCTTTCATACCTTTCGGTTTTTTCAACGTTCGTTTATAATAGTCATCTGACGCTAAATTACTACGTTTCATACTTAAATCAAAACTCGGACCAATTTCTTCTAATTCAATACGTGGAATACGATGTCCAGATTTTTTCAATTGAATACGATAAACACGTATATAAATCGTTTTTGTCGTATTTACAGTGAATGTCAAAACATGATCCAGTCCATTCAAATCCAGTTCATTAATACTTGTTTGTCCACGAAAAAAATCCAAAAAAAAGCATTTTAAACGCTTATAATTATTATCAGTATCAAATGCTTCACCCTGAAATATCAGACATGGTTTATTACCATATACAAATTTCATTGTTTTAAATTCATCAAATGATTTAAATTTTTCAACAGAAAATTCAAACATATCCAGTAGTTGGTAATTATGTAAACGTGCTAATATTAAATTATTTGGACGTTTTTTTGTATTAGTAACATAGGCAAACATTGACGAATCAGATTTCTGACAATACCATTCTAATTTACTTAAGTTTTCAAACGGAAATATATCGAGATTTTTACGCTGGTACATGGTCGAGTTAGGTTGTTTTAAGATGTGAATATTTTTTAATACGTTTTTCATTGTCAGGTTAGTTTTGCTACCACGAATACATAGAAGAGAACGTGGATCTTCAATTAATTTTGAGCCACGTCCTTCTAAAAATCGTTTACCACGTTGAGTTTTTGGACGATTTACACGTTGGACTTTCATCTATAAAGAGAATATCATCAAGACAAAGACTAATTTATTCACGAAAAGTGAGAGACATCAAAGCAGGCCAGGCCCTAGCCAGGATTTTTGCAAAGGGGAATCGATTCTTTTGCTTTCAGAGATAGTGTGAAGCCTTATCAACTAGCAGCTTTTTCTGACGGGATTCAGTCGGAAAAAATCATTTTTTCAAAAGTCCAGGGAGGCAGGGGGAACGGTTCCCAATCCCCACTGCATCAAACGTCGTCGACCTACAATAACTCAAGCCAAACAACAACAAAAAGAAACTATAAATAGAGAAATTAAAAAATATATGGACAGCATCATTTACGTGCTCAGTCCAAATGTGGACGACCGTGTCAAAATCATCACGGCTAGATATAAGAGAAAGAAAACTCCGTAGTTCCAACCACTGGATTTTGTTGAAGTCATAATGATAAGAAGTAAAAGGGGAAAAAAACAGGTTAAACAGGGACATCAAAAGTAGCAGATAAACAAAAATGAGGAGCACCACAAACAGGAAGAAAACAAGAAAAAGAAACATTGCTTCAAGAAGAAGGGGCAAAGATATAGTCAATACACGTACTAGAAGTAGTAGTTACAGGAAAATCAACAAAAGAATCCAAGAAAGAGTTAGAAAGATGAAGGACTTTGTTCATTTCAGCAGACACAAAAAACTCAAGTTTAAATCACCGCACACCACCAGATGAAGAAAAACAGAAGAATATTCACAGATAAAATTCTCAAGAACATCTCAACAGGAACAGACTGCGAGCGATAACAATTGCAAAGAATCGACGGAGAGTGCACAAGAATGACAAAAGCTTCAACAGATTAACCACTGTAACCTTCCATAAAAAAAAGAAATCTCCAATAGCTCCCACTACGACTTTAAGATTTTTACACTGTTACAAACTGTAAATCTGATTGTTAAGTGAAATTCACCATGATGGAATCTCTATTAAAAACACTGGGCCGGAACGCAGTCTACAAGTTACCGTATAGTCAGTGAAGCTAATACCCTACAAATTTCGTAAATATTATCCAATTCAAGAACCGGACAGTTTTACCGGTAACTTTTTGCGTCTAATTTCATGTCCCGACAGTAGAATATAAAGGATAAATATTAATGAATAAAGTTGATTAATGATGTACGAATGGTCAGTGTTCTCAACGAATGAAATCGTGAGACTTGTGTAGTCTTTTATTCAAGCTTTAGTGCAAGAAGCAGTAGTCTATTACAGTTCATTGGCTGCTGTTTGCTTATATTTAGATTTTGGTAGGCAGCGAGGCCTTGTCCAAACTGCAATTTTTTCACAGTTATAAGTTTAAGTCAACTCGATTAAAATAACCTAGAGGAAGTTCCAATCGTTTGTTTTTGTCGTGTGTTTTTGTCCAATCGTGTTTTTTGTCGTCCATCACTAACTTTTGACCTCTTTGAAATCTGATATAAAGTTATAAATTAAGCCCTGGTTTGAGTAGTGGTGGCGCCAGGGCAAGACTAGGGCGGTGTGAGCCCAACTACCCAAAAATTTAAAAACAGAGTACTCACTAGCAATAGTCACGTAAAAATTCTGAACGGATTTTTGAAAAATTATGGGCTGAGCCAGGCACCCGAAAAATCCTGCCGCCGCCACTAGGTTTGACTAAATATAACTAAATTTAACCTTAGTTTAAGATTACTCTGGTGAAATTCTGTTGTTTTCGTTAAAGTTGAACGATGTCACTTGTTATGTGTTAGTAACTGATGCACAGTGGGCATATTTGGCTAGAGCAAGCGGACATGTGATTTTATACGAAACATACAAGTGTTAAAATAATGGAAAATATATTTTTATAGGTTATCGACTACGCTCTATCCAACTGTGAAGTCAGAT